AAGTTTTTAGAAAATTTGTTTAAATTAAAAATCAAAATCAAAAACTTTTTTTAAATTGGTTATAAAGCTTAGAATTTATAAATTTTGAGAGTAACACTTTTGAACGTAAGACGACCTATCTCGATAAATAAAATATACCCAAATTCAATTAATAAAAGGTAAACAAATTAGAAATTTCAGGAGTTTAGAAAACAGAAAATGAGAAATGAAAATTTAACAAGGGCAACGACGACGACGACGACAACGACGAAGAAAACGAGGACGACCTTTGTCACACCAACAACCATTATTATTATTATTATTATTATAAAGGTTTTTAAGTGAAATTATCATCATTAGACTGAGAAAAAAAAAAAAAAAAAACTTTTAAATCTTTAAAATGACCGTCACTCCCCACTACCACCACCACCATCGTCACTCTTCGACGTACCAAAATATGAGAAACGAATTTAATGATAATGATGATAACGATGATGATTATGAAAGAACTTGCTTTTTTCATATAACATTATTCGAATTTGATAAAACGAAATATTCACACAAAAATTAATAATAATAATAATAACAAAACTAACAAATAAAAAAAGGAGGGAAAGAAAAGGGGGAAGGAGAGGGTAGGGTTTCCTACACGGAGATGAAGATGAATAGTATTTTAACCTCGTGAATTTAATTAAAATATTTTCGGAAAGATTTAATTAAAATAAATTGAAAATCTTTTCGCCGATATCGGGAATGGCGGTCAACTTGATTCCTCCTCTTCTTATATATATTCCGCGTAAAAATTTTTCCTTTTTTTATCGATCGATTTGTGACGTAACAAGAAAGGTTCCGTTTCAATCAAACAAAACAATAAAAAAGGTACGAGGTATTTTGTTTCTGTCGGTTTTTTACTTACTTACCGAAAAAGCTTTTAAAAAAACCAAACACTGTATTATTCCTTCCATGGTGTCACCCGTCACGCAAAACGTTCCTGATAAATGCCTCCCTTTACGTCCGATAACGCTCGATATGGCCGGCGTTATGTTGGCCGATACTAAAGCTCCATTTCTCGGAGTTCTACCGTTTCCCGTCGTTCCAGAAAATGACGAAGGCAAAACCAATTCCGTGCCAGAAATCGATTGAGTCAACCCGGTTATTCTGCTTTGTATTGTCTTGTAAGAAACGTTTTCCGAATTCCCTTTTTTATTCGCATAAATTTCAATTCCGACCATTTTGACGGCGATGATATTTAATTATTATTATTATTATTTAAAACAACACACGCACACTCACACCCACGAATAAAAATGTTTTAATTATAAATTATTCAAGTCATAATACTAATAATAATAATAGAAATCTTTTTGTTTAAAATTAAGATGGAAAAAAAAATAAAAAAATAAATAAATTATTTCATAAATCAACAAAAGGAAAATTTTCCTTTTTTCCCTTCCCCTTCCCATCCCTCCCACACGTCTTAAATCTTTTTATTCATAAACAGACATTAAGAAAGCTTTTCCTCTTATTATTATTATTATTATTATTATTATTATTATTATTATTATTATTATTATTATTATTATTAATTGTTTATTGCGTTTAAAAAAAAAAAAAAAACCGAACAAACGAAATTTATTTTAAAATGTTTTTAAAAAAAAAAGTGGAGGAGGGGATTTACATTTTCGAAAATATAAACATATAAAAAAAAAAATTTCCTTTATCCCTCACCTCCCCCCTCTTAAATTCACAGGGAGGCGGCAAGCGGATTACAACAAATAGGTTCTCAAATCTCCGTTTTAAAAAATTTTGTAAGGTTCAAAAAATTTATATATATATATATGGGGAGTCTCCATATTTTTTTAATAGTAAAATGATACACGCTCCTGGCGTACAACGGAAATTAGACGAAACTTTGTTTCTGCCACGAATTCAAATAAATTTTGTACAACGGATAAAAAAGGCCATCGTCATTCCATTTCACCGTATTTTAAATATTTTAATAATAATAATGATGATGATGATGATGATGATGATGAAAAATAACCCAAAATATAAAAAAAAATTACTTTCGCGTTTGTTTTGCTTTTATAAGACAATAAAAAACGAATTTTTCTTTTCTCTTTTTTTTTTTTATGGTGATTTATTATTTGAAAAACGCGACGGGAAAAATGGTTCCCGATATTATTATCATTATTATTATCATTATTATTATTAAACGAAATTTGTTCGAATACAAAATTTAAAACCTTAGAGCAATCATTTAACCGTAAATTATTTTATATGTACAAGTTAATCGGTGAACGGTTAATTACCAACCAGGAACCCCCACCCAGGGTTTTGTTAATGTTTTAAATGGTTTTTTATTTTTTTTTTTTTTTTCGGTAAATCAACCACCTTAAACGTAATTTATTACTTACGACAGAAAAAAAAATACTCGAATGACGTCACAAAATAATAATAATAATAATAATGATAAAAAATTCGAAAATAATTTAATTTAATTTAATTTAATTTTAAATTTTTTTAATTATTCTTTTTTTCAACAACTTTTTCCTTTTTATATTTAAATAATAATGACTGACTTTTTGACAAAAGAAAAAAAGAAATAATAATAATAATAATAATAATAATAATAATAATGAAAATTTATTATCATTATTATCATAACAACAACTATTTAATTGTCATTCCGTATAAAAAAAAAAAAAATTTACCGAGACAAACTTTTTCTTTTTTTTTAAAGAATAGGAAAAGGAAGAAGGAAAAGAAAAAGAAGAAGAAGAAAAATTCGTTTTAAGACGACGAAGAAACATAAAAAATTTAAAATGCCATTCAAATTTATTCAAAATTATTATCATTATTATTAATTTTTTTTTTTTTTAACTTGATTTACATAAAAAAAAAAAGGAAAGAAAAAAAACGGGGAAAGGAAACGCGAAAGAAAAAAAAAAAAATTTTCTAGATTAAATTGGATTCGAACAAGTGCAACAAAGGAAAAAGACAAAAAAAAAAAAAAAAAGGAAAGAAAAGTCATATTCAATTAACTAGGACTACCTAAGGCACGTGCACGCGTGTACACGCACACGCACACGCATTCAAAGAATCACGCAAAAATAAAATAAAAAAAAAAAATACTTCACATAAACTTTTACAAAAAAAAAAAGAAAAATTACAAAACGTTAAAAAGACAGAGAAATGTTGTCAATGTTATGAAAGGCACAAAAAAAATGATGATGATAATAATAATAATAATAATAATAATAATAATAATAATAATAATAATAATAATAAAACGAGAAAAAAACGTGACAGAAAAACAAAATAAAAAAAAAACTAAAAAAAAAAAAAAAAAAAATAAGAAAGAAAGAAAGAAAAAGAAAAAGAAACGTACGTGAAAATAAATGAAAAAAAAAAAATTTAATATATTAAATAATAATAATAATAATAAAAAGAAGGAGGAGGAGAAGGAAAAAAAGTAAAAGAAAAGAATAAAAAGTTTAAAAAAAATTCCGTTCATCCTTTCCATAACTTTCATAATTTTTTTTTTTAAATGTAAAATTATAAAAAAAAAAAAAAAGTTGTAAACAATCATTTTTACATTTTATTCAAAACTAAAAAAAAATTTTTGTTTTTTAAACTTTCTATTTAGTTTCCTTTGACGAACCCAACCTTTCCTTTCCTTTCCTTTCTTTCCTTTTAATTTTTATTAACAAAATAAATAAAATTAATTTTTTTTTTGTATTAACATTAGCGTGTTGTAATCGGTGACGTCGATGATGACGTCGGCGGACAATGGCGATATACGCGACCGACGTTTTAACAATAAAAATAAATTTTGCGAATACAACCCCTTCCCTCTCCCTCTCCCTCCCTGCCGCACTCTCATAAATTTAATTAAATTTTATTGTCAAGTTTTGTAATCGATAAAATCGATAATTTCAAATCGGACAAAAAAAAGGAAGAAAAAAAAGGAAAAAAAAGGAAAAAGGGAAAAATTTTCTCTTCAACAACTTATATTTTATGTGAAAACCAAATGTTTTTTTTTTTCTTGTTTTCCCTCTCCCCCCCCTCTTCTTTTGAATTATCAAATCGTAAAATTTAATTTTTATTACGTGAAATTTCTAAAGTAACGTGTATTCTTGCAAAACTTTCCTTCTTTTCTCCCCATCTCCACCCCCCCCCCCAATCCCGAGAACGTACATAAAATAAACTAACTACATTGTCATTATTTTTTTAATGACGTCACGTTTGCACTAAAATCCTACTCTTTTCCCACCATCTTTTTTACTTTTTACTTTTCTTTCTCTCTCTCTCTCTCTTCACGAATCACACACGCATACACGCACACGTACACCCTCACAACCCCTTTCACTCCACCCCAACTCTACCCCCCGCGTGAACGATAAGTACATCATTGATATGTTTCCAAAGGTTTTTACGTTATTTCTTATTGTTTTCCGATAAACGTGACCCGAGAATGGGAGAGAAAGGGAGAGAGAGAGAAAGAGAGAGAGAAAAACTTGTGTAAAATCTGTACTACTTCGAGTATAAACTAATAATTTTTCTTTTTTCTTTTTTTTTTTTTTTTAATAGAAAATCAATAACTTATTGATTATTTTTTTTTTTTTATCGATTGTAAAATTTCGATATAACCGTTACGTCGTTAAATAAAAAAATTATTTGTAAAACAAATTCCGACATAATAATAATAATAAGTAAGATTTTTTATTTTTAAGAAAGAACGGGAAACGTTTCGGTTTACTTCCGGTTTGCTTTTGAGCAAGTACCCGTTTTGCCGAATATTAGTTTCGATCGTACAAAAATGTGCTCGGTTTCGTTTGTCTTAACCTAATCTCAAATTATCCAAATAATGATACACACCAATCCGACCTTTTGATTTTTCCCTTTCCCCCCTCCCCTGAAAAATGTTTTCCATCCTTGCCATTTTCTTAATCTGTCACTGTGTATTTTTAAGTAAATTGACAGTTTTCCATTTCATTTTTTTTTTTTTTTTGCCATTTTAAACATTCTTCTTCTTCTTCTTCCTGTGATTGTTGTTGTTGTTAACATTCTGTCATCGTTCTCCTTTGTTTGTTTAAAATGACAATGAGTTTTTGACAAATCTCAAAATATATATTTCTTTCTTTTCATTTTTTATTTATTCCAATAACGTCGATATTATTTGCACCTTCCATTCGACATTTTTTTTTTTTTACTAACTGACACACGCACAACAACAACAACAACAACCACAACGTATCGACGTTTCTTTTTTTAAAATAATGCATCATTTTGTGGCAGTAGTATTAATCTTTTTGTATTTCGATTTCCCCTCCCCATCCCCCGTTTGTTCGATTCCGCGACAAACATTAATTCATCATTAGTATAAAACTCTGACCGGAAGTAAATAAATTAACGA